ATATATCTCAGTGCATGAGTCATGCAGTCCACACAACTCCCAAAACAATAGCGAGAGCTCTGCGCTGGCCGGCCCGGGATGCTGAGTTCACAGTCTGCACACACAGCCTGCTTTTTGTCAACCACTGAGCTGGAGATGTTTTTGAGAGCAGGGCTTTAACAAGGACAAAAAAAAACTAGCTCCGCTCGCTTTGTGCACCAAGTTTGGGGCTTATTGAGAGACACAAGCTTGCAAGGGAACCAAAACAGCTTGTCACTGTGATATTTCTATTCACAAGATAATACAGGCCAGAAACATTACACGGAAGATAAGGATGCGTTTACAGAGAGCACAGTATATCAAATGGCCCTGGGTAAGGTGTAAACAGAAGATGGGTTGTTTACTCTGCGCACTAACTTGAATCCTTCACCAAGAAGATGCTCAAAAAGAGCACAGCGAGGACACTAAGAGCAAATAGTACCCCATCTCTGCTCAAATAGGTCTAATCCACCGATCAGTTGTGTGTGAAACAATACTCCAAAGATAACAACAACAACAACAGTCAAATGTTTGGGGCTGATCTGTTGGCTTTTGTGCTTTCCTCGCCTGGACGCAGCTGGGACCCGTGGGGAGACAGTGACGGCCCCGGGGCCTCGCCAATTGTTCCCTCTCAGTTTCGCTGCGGGCCCCCAGACAAAAGTTTTCATATCCACCATCAGGGAGGGGAGAGCTAACGGATCGAGTTCATATTCTGCCTGAGTCAGCATCGGATTTTTACATTATCTCACCCAGTTTCCAAACTTTTGCGCGACATCTTTACGCACCAACAATGTAGGTTAAACTGGATTTAAAGCCTGGTAAAAACAATTAACACTCAATGTTCAACTGTTCCCCCGCTGTTCCCCCTCCTCCTCTCCCCTTTATCCACTACTTTCCCAAGCCTACAAACACCCCCTCTCTCCCTCCCCCTCTCTTCAAAAACCACAAACAAACAGAGCACAGGATGGGAGAGCACGAGAGGGTCTTTTTTGTTGTTGTTTTGGTTGTTACCATTTTACTTTTCCAGGCGAATTTCATGGTGAGCGTTTCTTTCATGATCCGGGGACAGCATCAGAGCTCGGGTATAATCCGCCAAGGAATAAAGAAGAAGAAGAAAAAGACGTTCCTGTATTTTAAAATCAAATCTTAGATCCCCGCTGAAAAAAAGATCTCCTCCTTCAACGCGCATGCACACTTTCTACCGCTCAACTCCAAACTCCAAATCGTCCTCCTCTGTCTGTCAGCAAGCTTTCCTCTTCTATTGAATGACCGAACTCCGCCTTCTTGCACTCACAACAGTCCCGTTGAAACTCCTCCTCCTTCCTTTTTGTCCGACTCCATCATACTCACTACACTGCGCGCGCTCAGACGTAAGGTTGCGATTTCCGTTTGCGCAATGAATACACCACTACAATAAATCTCTTTCCCAAGAAATTCATATCAGTCATAAACGATTTTTATAATGTGTTTATAGTAGTTGATGAACCCTAAATCCTTATGGTATATACAGCAGGCTACTAGGCTATACATTAGTTTGTTTTATTGGTATTCTTCTTTTTGTTGCTTTTTTGTCTATTGTTTTAGCTTGTTATGAACAATAAAACATTATTTGAAAAAAATAGATGTAGCTATTGGGTGTTTTTTCTTTAGTTCGTGTCTAATTGCATTGTGTGAAAATGCAGCTGAGGCAAATATTTGGCTTCAGCAGTTCGAGTCCAGTCGGTAGGCCCATGTCACTGTAAGGTCTGTGGTTTTAGTGCAATACTCCTTTTCTTGTTTCACCCAGACAGTGTTTTCCTGAGTGGAGGTATGGTAGCCATTAACACGTGCAGGGAATGTCACTGTAAGAAGACCATAACTCTGGGAGACACCTACTTTGTTTGACTTTTTCTCCCTCATCACCTGGAGTCATGTTCCATAAGAGGGGATCTCTGTATGACCAGTGAACCTGGTCTACTCCGTTGATTTAGCATCGCACTCCTGTGTAAAAATCAATTCATTTTTTACTCCAGCACATTGTTCCTCGTCAAAGCCTTGCGAGCACATTACCCGCAATGAAATTCAACTGCAGCCATTGACCAAGGATTCCGGTGTCTTATGCTGGTAGCAGTTATTGTGGCCCTTAAGCCGACATGTGGAGCTCTCTGATAATGTATAGTCTTTTCTATATAACTACACAAAATCTATTAAGTTATAGTTAATATCTGACTAGGAAGGTCTCCATACCGCTATATGTAAACTGTATCTGCACAGTTCAAGTTCAAAGTCCTTCTTCCTTCATTTCTTCTTCTATGGTCCTTACAATAAATACCTTTTGCCCCCTTCACCTCTCCCCTTTGTACAATTCTCATCACCCCAAATCCTGAGAACCGACTTTGATGTGTACAACTGTTGGACTCCCTTTAAACAAATCAGGGGCTTCTTCTGATCATGACAGAACTCTTTAGTTTTCTGGCTATAGTTCACCAAGTTGTGTATTTACCAGTAAACCTCAGTTGTGTTTAACACGTAGATCACTGCCATGTTAACACACAGATCTCATATGAGTGGATGAAGTGCGTCGTTGTCATGTGTGTGCGAAGCAGCTGCCGCCTCACGGCCCCTCTGCGTGGGACAATACAAGGAAGGCCGTGGATGCCGTCACCAGCACTGTTTATTGTCAGTGACAGGAGAGGAGAATAGGCTGAGTGTGAGAATGGCCACACTATTCCACTCTGAATGGGCCCGCACACGTACTCCAACAGCCCACTTGTGTGAATAAACGGGAAGATATGAATCAAGCATCGACTTTGTGAGGGGTCTTTTTGTACAAAGTTGTAGTGTAAATGTGAGCCATCGGTGGTTCATGCATTTGCTGGTCTGCTTAGTCGGCCGATGAAACAATCAAACTACTGATCCAGAGTCAGGAGACGGTGGGAAGGTTATGATGCTTATTGTCATCTGGCTCTGTGGGTGAAACGGCAAGACCTGCCGTGGCCCCACTTTAGTATCATGCGTGCGTGCGTGTGTGCGTGTGTGTGTGTGTGTGTGTGTCTGTGTGTGTGTGTGTGTGTGTGTGTGTGTGTGTGTGAGATATGCCTACCCACTCCTCTGGCTCCCATAACACCGACACATAACCCCAACGTCACACTCAGCGTCACTGGCTGTCAAGCAGGGTGCACACGCACACAGATGCACCCGCACACACGGGGGTTCCCCACTTCTGGCCTCATTGCTGGGAGGGCACTAGACTCCGTCAGTGTTCCTCTGATATGAAGTCATATGTTTCTATCAGGTTTCCTTCTAACTGACTGTTCATCAGGCTGCATATCTGGCCGGGCTCCAGTTCCCAGGCCGAGCTGCCCCAGTGTCCACTTGGGTCTCTGGGGTTTCTGGGAAGCCCAGAGGGGCAGTGGGAAGGTCGTGCCCCCACGCGACCTCCAGCTCAGCCCCGGGGGGATATCTCTGTCGGTCTCACAGTGGGAATGGTGTCACATCTGAACGAAAACAACACATTTGACAAAACTTGACAGCTGCTCCGCCGTCTGATGGATGCAGCAGATGGGTGTGTGCGTTTTCAACAAAATGTGAGAAGTCTTCTCTTCTCTGGATAATTATACTACAGTAGTATATATGAATGGATCTGGAATACATTAATGTATACTACTGTATTATAATTATCCTGATAGGATGCATCAGAAGAGACTCTTAGGCATAGGAGGCTAGCTTTCTTTAAATGTCAGAGCTGTTTTTAGGTATCTTGGTGCTGTAGGGCAAGTTAAAGAAAGAGTTTGACAAGTTCGGCACTACAGTTATTTGCTTATTATGCCAATAGTTAGATGAGAAGGTTGATTTCTGCTCTCATGTTTATCCACTGGACACAGCGCAGAGCTAGCGGGCGGTTAGCTCAGCTTACCATATAAGCAGGGGGAAACAGCTCGCCTGGCTCTGTCTGAATGTAACAAAATCGTCCTTCCACAACATCTAAAGCTCACTAATCAACACAACATGACTCATTTGCATATTCAGTATGAAAACCAAAGTGTTAAGATGACAAGTTGTGTTTTTTACGGCTAATGGGAAGACTATTTCTCGACCGGAGGCAGTGGATTCAAACCATCACTGTTAAGGTTGCCAGGCAAATCAAGCTGCTAGTTTCATAATGCTGAACATTACCAAAAAAATGACATGGGGACAAAGGTTCCTCACATGTAAATTCTTGTATTCTTTAGTAGTTTCTTCCTCTGAAGTAACTACTAACTATATTAGAGCAACTGTTAAAATGTAAATGTAAAAAACGTCCCTCTGAAGTGTAGTGGAGTAGAAGTATAAAGTCATATTAAATGGAAATCTTCAAGTTAAGTACAAGAATTTCAACGTACAACTACACAGATTTCCTGTCGTCTGAATGTAAAGGTTAAAGCGAATGTGATGGATGTGAATGGAATCTTCATGTTGCAATATTTGAAAGGCTATCAAATATTCCAGAAGGTCTTCTTGCACTGTAATACCGGCCTGTCCTCATACCAAGTTTTCCTCATCTTGAGGAAGCCTAATGACGTAACTACACTTAGGAAAGCCCTTGATGAGGGCAGAGGAGTTTTTCATGATGAGTTCCTGCTATTATTGAGCTCTTCTCCCTGTTCCACAAAGTCCGAACAGGGAGCTACTGTACAGACAGAAAGGGGACAAAAACAGGAGGAGCGCCGCTCGCACTGTTATTGCACCACTGTGGGGGGAAAAAAACACACATTCCAGGAAATCTCCCACTTCCTGCCTCCTGACTCCAGCGAGCCTGCTGTCCTCATACCTGACTGGCTGAGGGGGCTTCTCGGGCCTGGAGACGAGAGGAGAAGAGAGGAGGAAAAGGGGATTCCTAAAGCAAGTAGATTGAGCAGGAGGAACAGACAAGGAATCACAATGCTGGGAAAAAACCCCAGAACCAAACACACAACAGGACAAAAATGGGGCTGGTGTCTTGGGCATCGTGTGTGTTTACACCCAAGATAAGAAGGTCATGTATCAAAGAAAATGTAGGACACTGTTGAGATTAACGTGAAAGGACATTATCTCTACTGTGAGTGTGAGAGGGAGAGACAGATGGGGGGGAGTTCACAGTACAGCCAGAAACTGAGAGGATCCATACTGGCTGAGAGACAAACGTGAGGTAACAGGACCATCGAGCACTGGCGTCAAGAGAAAGAGTGATTTCATATTTCAGACCGGAAAGAGACGCCCTGATTTATTTTCTAAGTAAACAGGAGACTCTTTTTCATCCAGTGAGGGGAGTTTAAATATCATAATAAAAGGGAGAGAATCTTTCCTGCCACCATATCGGGACCAAGTGTGTCAGTACATTTGCACTCTGTTCTTGTTTGTACATTCTTCCCGTAATATGCACGGGTATGCACGCACAGTGCGTTTCACTGTATGCTTGTGTGCGGTTGGTGGGTTTGTGTTTCCTAAGCATACTGCCCAGTAGAGGGCAGAGTTCATAAACCGCTGTGTTTATCCAGACTCAGCAGAGGCTTGAGCCAAACCAGGCCGGAGCAACAAAACCCAAGAGGTTGGATTTATGGCGCGGGAGATGCTCTATAACTCAATAAAACCTTAGAATGAGACAATCAGAGTAGCTTCAACTGGTCATTTGAGAGCAGTGAGGCAGGGGGCAAGAGGGCGCTCAGTAAGTGCACAGGGTTATTTGATAGTTATTTAATGAGGGAAGGGATCAGCAGATGAGTGTCTGTGGATCCATAGTAGCAACCATGAAAACACAGTTAAGGACATGCCAGGTCTTCTCTCATACCCCACACAGCTGCATTTCTCTTTTTTCCTCTGCCTCGTCTTCGGTCAACTGAACCCTTTGTTCAAACAGCCACATTAAGCTCTGTCTGCTTTGCTCCTTTTCTCTCTCTGTTCTCTTATGTCATGCCTCTACTCCCCTTAGATCTATTGTCCTGGCTGTTGTTGAGCTCTCTCTTTTTCTCTTTCTCTCCCCCTCTGGATGGGTGACATCATTCGTTTTCCAGTAAAGTCCAGAGCTTCAGAGCGAGACCCCTCCTCCTCCTCCTCCTCCGCGCTCAACATTAAACACAGCTGACTCTGCAAGCTAAGACATAGTTGCTCAGAGTTTCATTAACACAAAACCTCCTGAATCCTATGTATGCACAGAAATGTTTAGGCTATTAGAAATTGTGTAACAGACTTATTTGTTCTTACAGCAGCCTCCATATGGGGTCAGTGTGACCGTTGCACTAAAGCGAGGATAATCCTCTGGAGCTATGATGACTCAGATGGTATTCTGCTAGTTAAGGTACTTTCAGGTGTCTCTGCATTTAGAAGAGTTACGATAAATTCCCAGCACACAGACACACACACACACACACACACACACACACACACAACCCCCCTTCATGGGGCCCCAACCCTGACCAACCCCCCTAGATCTAAGCCCTGCTAAGCCTTGAATGAATCGGTCTGGACTGGCTCGGTTGTCTGTCTGACCCCTCCCTGCTAATGAGAGATGGACCATCTGTTGCCCAGCAGATACATGATACCCTAAAGTTGTCACATAGTCAACAAAAACAGCACACAGCATCAGTGGAGCCCATCGCACGCTGGCGACAACTGCTGCCTCCCCAAAACCCCTAAAATCCCACCATGCCAGAAAACAACTACACAGACGACTGCAAATTCATCACATCAGAGTAAGCCGAATCACATCTACTTTTACCATCACACTGTTTCAGGTTTGATGTTAAGACATCGTTGGTTCGGACTGTACTGTGAGAGAGCAATAACCTCCCTACATTTAATGCTTATTTTTGAGTTCTAAGGGATTTGACGCTGTGGTTTGCAGTACTGTTAGTGTTGAATCAAAGTATGAAGCATGTGCGTTATAAGAAATGAAATTGCGTAAGTGATGCACACAACAACACACACTCACAAAAAGAGGCAGTAGCGCAATAACAAGCATTGACAAGCACGGCTGTTGCCATAGCACCGACCAAAATTTAAAATATTTGCTCTGCCAAAACAATATGGACACATCAAACTGCGTGTACACGTTTAGTATACCTAAAAATATGACCTGCTGTTTCACTTAAACAAATACAGGATGTATTTCCTGTTCTAAAGTTAGAGTAGGCCATTTCTTTGTTTGCCTAAATGTTTGACCTCAGTGGCTGTTATAGTTTGAAAACTGCTGACATACAGAATGTGTGAGCGCTCTTATCAATAACTGTCGTCCAGGCACCAGCGGCCTAATGCCAAACACACACACACGCACACACACACACGCACACACACACACACACACACACACACACACACATGCTAATACACACATCACAATGCCAGCTTGATCCCAGTCATGCGTCCTGGCTAATGCTGAAAGCTCAGCCTGAGCGGGAAAAGGAGTAGAGAAGTGTGTCACAGAGCTGCAAACCATAAAAACAAACCCAAGCCAAGACGGTGCCACTGCACACGGTGCCCTCTGCCTCCTACCAACCCACCCCTAAAACACACACACACACACACACACATCGCCACAAAAATAACACCCATCTCCATGTGGCGCGATGAGTTTCTGCCCCAGTTAAGCGAGCTGCTCCTGTAGTGTTGTCGCGCTGAGATGGCCGCTCGGGTGACAGGGACAATGCCCGCCGTATTGACTTTACACACCAGTTCTATTATGTGACCTAATTAGGCCCAAGATCACAATATGACCCTCTAGACTAGAGAGCTGCAGGCAACTAGACAACTTGACATACTGAGGGTCAGCCGAGTGTGTAAACACCATCTTTAGGTGGTGGACTGAATAAACGGGACGGAGACCTGGATTTTGGAAAGAAAATCAAGACAAAAAGAAAGGACTGAGGAGCATTATTGTCCCTCCACTTGTGTCTTGTATTGATTACTGGGTTAATCAATAAACCCAGTCCTCTCCACGTCCCCTGAATGGTGCTCTCCCATACACACACTTGTAAAATGCAGATATTTCATAAACATTGAAGAACTGAAACCCACACAGTTCTATATGTATTTACAGGCCAACGAAGCAGAACTAGTCTTAGCCGGATGAGTGAATCACTGTGCAATCGTCAAAACACATGACAAGCACGGATCAAAACTTTTGGAAACACTGAGACGTCACTGAGCATCCGCATGAAACGTGCACTTCTCTGTTCAAAAAGACAAGAAAGAGGAAGGAGGAGTGTGAACTCAGCTTTCTTACTTTTTGTTCAATGGAAAACACGCCATCATCGAAATTCTCTGTCCCCCCCGCCCCTTCCTTTGTCCCTGTTTTCTCTTTATAAAATCACTTCTGCTTTTCCAGCAAATGATCCGCGGAGGTTATTGAAGTATACCCTGCTGGTTATTATAAGCCAAACGGGTGCGAGGTGGCGGCTAATATTCCCTCTACTGGAGTTTTGATTGATCGGCCTGCGGCTTAATTACATCGCCTTATCACTGAAGAGTATAAAAGAACACAACAGACTTCTGAAATGCGGTTGGAGCAGTAAAATGTACTCTGATAACCCACTCGTCAACACTCTCACTTCTGTGCAACCGGGGTCAAACCTGGTCAAGTCCTTTGTTATTCATACTTGTGACACCATCCTGAGTAAGATGCATTGTTTATTCTTTGTGATTTATTAACATTGATTTCATTTGCTCCATC